AAAAGGCTGGTTTTTTTTTTTTGTTTTGGGGTTTTTTTTTGTTTTTTTACAGAATTTGAAAATTATGATTTTTTCCCCTTGTACCATAGTGATAAAATATTGTCATAGGAGAACTGACAAATTACACATTTTGTTTTAAGAAATAGCTCTGTTTTATAATTTCTGTAATATGAAATTAACCCTCTTGTTTTTCACTTACATTAAACACATTTTTATTATTCAGCTGTAAGTGGCAAAGTAGGCATTAAAGTTGTCTTTCACTGACAACAGGAGAAAAAAAATGGTTGCCTGGGAACACCTGTCCTGTCCACCGACCAGTGTTCTGAGCGAGAGGGTGTTCAGCATTGCTGAGGATGTAATGTCACCCCACCGCACCTGCTTGGATCCTGGTTTGGTGGAGCAGCTGGTGTTCCTCAAGGTGAACCTCCCGCTGCTGGGGTTACCCAAGCTCCAGGTACAGATGGAGTGAATGCCACCCTCCTCACTCTGTCTGCACCTATTTACTTCCTTTCCTTTTTTCATTTTTTAAACACCATTTAATTCCCCGCTCTGAGCTGGAGGGGATACTCACTGCCTCACCAGCCAGCAGGGAAAGAACATGCCTCTGCTGAGCTCCCGTGCCAGGATGAACTTGGAGGTATGAGCTGGGGCTATAGGGAAGGAGGAGGCCCCAGGTCCTGAGCATGACTACTAAAACTGCACTCTGCCAGGGTCAGGAGGCCGGGTGGGACTGCTGGCAGCGTGGCAGTCCCAGGAAACGCCAGGACTGAGGATCTCCCTGGTGAAAGGCGGGTAGGAGGTGCCATAACCTCCAGCCACCACACGCACGCAGACAGTCCTGGCTGGGGAAAGCCCAGACCTGTCATGTCTTTGATAGGCCTGTGGCTTGCTGGCTGCAGTGAAGTTGTGAGGCTCCAGGTGAGCTCAGCTTAGCTGCCTGGGATGCTAGCTTTCGGGTTGAAAAACCTTTTGTCAGACTGAGGAAGCACCTGCAGTTGGTGCGTGTGCTGTTCCTGGATGGAAGGAATAGTAAAGAAGCCAGAGGCTGGCATGCAGTGCAGTCAAGAAAGCCAGTCAGTAAAAATGGAAAATGGAGGCCTCAGGGGGAGAGGGATGGGCTGGGGAGGGCAGGGGGGAAGGGAGATGTAGTTGCGCAGGTAAAAGTGGAGAGGTATCTGGGGAGTTAGATATCCGGCAGGTTGTAATGTGTCAGGATTTCAATGTCCATATTGAGTCCATGAGTTTCTGTACCTAGGAGGTTGATGAAGTGCAGTTCATAGGCTCATCTGCGAAAAGTGGTTTGTAAATTCCCTTTGAGGATAAGGCCTGAGAGACTGGAGACAGGGGGTGTTCTGCTGTTGTCTTTGATAGATTTTTGGTGTGCGCTCATTCTGGTGTGCAGTTGTTGCTTGGTGTCTCCATGTATCTTCCATCAGGGCACTTGGCACCCTGGTATAGATATGTATTGTATTGTGAAGACATCTACATACTGGAGATATTGTTGGCAGGTTTTGCATGTCTTGTCATGGCATGGCCTGGATCCATTCAGTGTGCTTTGGGCTGTAGGAAGTTGGCTTCTGGTGATGTGGTTAGCAAGGTTAAGTACTTGTTTGAATTTACAAATCACTTTTCACAGGCGGGCCTATGAAATGCACTTCATCAACCTCCTAGGTAGTAGGTTCAGAAACTCATGGACTCAAAATAGACATTGGAATTCTGACACACTACAACCTGCTGGACATCTGACTCCCCAGTTACCTCTCCATTTTTACCCGAGCTGCTACATCCTTCTTATCCCCCAACCCAGCCTGTCCCACTCCCCTTGACACCTCCATTTCCATTTTCACTGACTGGGTTTCTTGCTTGCACTGCATGCCAGCCTCCGGCTTCTTTACTATTCCTTCCATACAGGAACAGCACACACACCAACTGCAGGTGATTCTTCAGTCTGATGAAGGGTTTTTCAACGCGAAACCTTGCTAAGATTTATTTCTGTAACTACTCAGTTGGTCTGCTAAAAGATACCAGATTAGATTCACCTAAAGGACCTTGTCTGCCAGTGCCATGTCCTTAGACCAACACCCCTAGCACCTGACCGGTGCAAGGCCATGGGCACGTCTAAGCCCCAGGGCTGGAGCTGGCAGGGAGAGTTCTCCAGCAGCTGCTGAAGAAGCAGCTCCTGCAGCAGAAGAAAGAAAGGCTCTGTGACAGTTTGGCTGCCAGAGATGCTGCTGGTGCTACTCTGCTGCTATTCACTAAGCTATTATTTTACCTGTTATTTAAAGTGGTGGACCAGCCTAAGACTATAGAGGAAGAGGAGGCCTCCTTGGGGTACACTACCGTGTTGTGTAGAGGCCCCAGCATACATGTCATGAGTTTTGCTTGTCAGCAGCCAAGGTGAGGTTTCTCAGAAACCCCTGCACCTATCTTCTTGAAAGCTGGCAGGCATCATGGCCTCTGCAGGGGCTACCATGCCTGAAGTTTTCACCCTGCTGTGCCTTAACACACACGTGACACGAGTTTTGCTTGTCAGCAGCTTAAGGTGCAGTTTCCCAGAAACCCCTGCACCAATCTCCTTGAAAGTTGGCAGGCGCCACGGCCTCAGAAAGCACTACATTCCTGCAAGTTTTATTCGAATCAGGCAAGAAATGACAAAGTTATAGGCAGTTTCGTGCTTCCCCATTATAGCCTATAGGTGAAATGTCGAATACAGCGCTGAAACAGGGAAACAGTTTCAACAAAACAAAATGTGTGGAATAAGACTGTCATTTCATTTTGAATGCTTTCGAAATGAAACGAATCTTGAAACGAAACACTGTCCCATCAAAATGGCAAAACGAAATGGTGCTGTTTTGCATAGCCCTACCATCCGGTACTTAAACAACTGAAATACTCCATTAAACAGAGTTTCTGGCTGGTCGGCCAGACATTGGGGTGGGGGGAAGCTTGCAAACGGCGGTTGCTGCCACCACCCACCACCCTGTGCTGCTGCCACTCCAGATGCGACCGCTGCCAACCCCCTCCCCCAATTCTGCCAGCTGGGTGCTGAGGGGGGAAGGGGGAAGCTCGCATGTGGTGGCTACCGCCGCCACCCACCACCCTGCACTATGCATGTGGCCGCCCCCCCCAACTCCATGTTGCCTGTAAACCCTGCCAGGTTATTTCAGATAACCAGAGTTTTTACGTAACCAGCAATCCCCTTACCCCAGGGATGCCAAATAACAGAGATTTTACTGTGGCTTAAAGTGACTTTGGAATAGTTTTGACAGGAAGGTTTTTAACCCTGAAGTTGTGTGTCACCTAGGTGTTCTTTTATGTTTTTACTCTGTTATACACAACAAATGGAAACAGGAAGGGAAAAGGAATAACTTTACCAGTGTTTTAGAGATTCGTATTGATATTATGGTTTGCTCTGCAGTAGAAGATATGAATTGCTAATCATGAAGAAGAAAACACAAGGGATTTTACACATCTGTGAAAACATCATATACAGCACTATATATGCCAAATGACAGTCTTATTCCATATTACATATACCATATTTTCTTGCATATAACATGCTCCCAAATATAAATACACACCCTAGTTTTGGAAGGCCCCAAGAAGGAACAAAAAATCTTACCCTGAAGTAGAGGTCTGGGGTTTCTAGAGCTGAGAGTCACGTGCCAGGGCCCAATTTGGTATATCACAGTGAGGCTGCATGTCCAAACCCAAATTAGAACACCAGCACTGGAGCTATGTGCCAAGTCCAACCCTGCACATTGACTCTGAGATCACACACTGACTCTGGAGCCACATGCCAGGATCCAGGCCATGAGCTGGATCAGACTTGGTGCAGTGGGTCCATTTGTGCACACCCCCATGCACTATCCCAATTCAGTCCACAGCTGGGCTCCCCATAGGTCCTGAAATTTGGCAGCAGAAATAGTGGGGAACAGGAGGGGTGAGGAGGTGGTGGGGGGAGGGGTTGGGCATTCCTTGCCCTGGATCCCAGATCTGCAGCAATTAATGCTGCCACTGCTCCACCCTCCCCTCTCCCTTGAAATTTCCAGACCCATGTGGAACCCTTTCCTTTCTATAATGTACACCCCAATTTTCCCCAGCTGGTTTTGGGCCAAAAGGTGCCGGTTATATGCAAGAAAATACAATATATGCTTCTTCAACTCCTTTAAGGTCAGAGAAGGATACAGCAAGCACCTACCCTCCACATCTCCTACTTAGTGGACAATTAATTGTTAACTGTAAAAATCTCATAACACAGAAAAATGGACAAACTGATGACTGTGGAGGAAATATGGAAAAAAATGTCTTCTACAGAAAATGAAATAGATTCCTTACAGTTTCATATCAATTTTGTTATTTGTTTATAAATTTTCTATAGAAGTAACTAGCTCAGTGGGAATTAATGCCAGTAAAAAAAACAAACAGGGGCTGAAAGTTCCAGTATACTTCTCTGCTTTAATCTACCCATACTTAAAGTGAACTTGTCTATATGAAAAGCTTGTCACAAAACTACATGTTTTTGGAATATATCTAGAAATCATTTATATTTATACTGTTCTGCTTTGCATTTCATTCATCTATTACCAGGTTACCTTCCGGTTTTATGCCAATGAATAAGCAAACTGGCAACTTCTGTGAAGTTTAGCATTTTAAAAATTGTTCAGGCTCCCACTCTGCAATGAAGATTTCTCCAGGTGTCAGTCCTGCAGATTACAGGGAGAAGCAAGGAGGCTACTGGCCCATGGTTGTATTTCCAACTTGAAGGATGGAAATATACAATCAGAAGCACAGCAAAATGAGTTATCAAAAATGGTATAGCAAAAAAGAAGCAAAAAAATGTAACCTGTGATATAAAAGAAATCAAATAAAAGTTTTGGCTCATTCTCTCTCTTCTCTGGTAACAATTACTATTTAACTACTTGTTGATTTTTAACAACCTTAAAAAACATTCAATAAGGAGACATTATGAACTTGCTTTGATAATGCTAACATGTTACCTGGCAAACTAGTCTTCATGATATCAATGCCAACCTGGAGTTCAGGCTCAGCTGCAAGGACGGCATAATCCCCTTGATGAGACACATTAAAGTTGAAATTGGAATGGATACTGGATATGCTATTTGCCAGGAAAGGTTTCCCTTTCGATGTCCTTTGCAAGACTATTTCATTCCAAGGTATCCACAGTTTTTCTGCGATTAGTTTTCTTATCAGCAGACGCCCAGCCTGTGAAATAAAATAATTTAAAGCTGATACAAACAGAACTACTATTCTGTGTACAAAGAACAGGTCATAGCTGCTAAAGCTCTACCATGATAATTTTAGTTTATATACATTATTGGTAAGACAACACAGAAATATTAACTACATAATTATTTGAACTACATAACTATTTACAAATGCCTTAACATGAGGTAAATTAACAAAAAGGCTAATATGTATTCACTCAGTTCACCATCGTAACAATTATTTGTTACATAGCAGCATTATATGCTGTACACTACGAGGCACAAAAAACCCCAATTCCCTTTCTAACAAATCAAACTGTAATTAAATAGGTTTTCCTACCTTTTATGTAGCCTATTTAGCATACTCTGCTCACTAGTCCAACACCGGACAATAAGTCTTTACAGCGTATTCTAGTGAAAAACTTAGCTTTCCCCTTTGTGTTGCTTTTATTTAAAGCCTAAATGAGGGTTTGTAGAAATAGGTCAGTCAAAAGCATTAAAAAGTTTTTATAAGTGGCTGACATTTCATATTACTCAACTTGCTGTTATAGATGAGCATAAAGCTTGAACTTCAGGTTCCATGACTTTTCCAGGATGCATCAACTTATGTCCTTTTATATCACGTGCTTGTGATGTAATGCATGATGCTGATCACCACGGATCCTGGTTTTCTTTGATAAAAAACAATCCCCAATCTTCGGATTAAAAAAGGTAACCTAAAATCCACGTTTCTACAATTAAAATGAAATGCTACTAATTACACATATCTACACATCTCTCTATATTGAGGGAAAAAGAGAGGGGGCGTTTTATTTTAATTATGGACAAATGTAGATTTGGGGTTACTTTTTTTAAACCAAAAATTGGGGATTTTTTTTTTTTAAATCAGAGAAAATCAAGATCCCTGCTGATCACCCACTGGATGTCCAATCACAAAATAAAGTTGCAAAAGAGTTTTCTTTCACTATCTTTTTAGAGCACCGTGCTGGGGAGGGGGGGCTGAGCAGAGCTTCAAGGCATTGTCTGGGGAGCCCGATGTTCATTACATATGCGTACTACATGAGTGTTGTAGTATTTTCTTCCCAGGTACTTCTTCACTATTCATCCCCCTTCTCTCCCC